TTTATCTGTCCTATCTGTCCTATCTGTTCAATCAGTTCTAAATGTTGAAGAAGTCGCCCTGTTCTAAGTGTTAAGACTAAAATGACAGAATAAATAGAATACTAATTAAATAGTTGAAAAAAATTCAAAGACTTAATAGAATTTTGAGAATATGTTTATCCTTTACAAATTACCTGGATTAATAATTTTAAAATATTTACCTGTAAAATTAGTAAAACTTCTTTTTTGTCGTGTGATCTTCTGTGACGTCCTAATGTTGGTAATATGTTAATAAATGGAAAAGTTGTAAAAGTAAAAACTGAAAAAAAGTTAAATGTTAAAGTAAAAATTGGAGAGAGAAACGTTTCGATGCTTTCTAAGGTATTGCTGGTATGCAAATGGTGCTATGCTGCTCTGTAGCAATTTTTCCAACCGTTTTTTCAGTTTTCTTCTGTCTTCTTGTTTCTTTTCTTCATTTTCTTTTGTTTTCTTGCTTCTTAGCTTGTTTTCTTTATATCGTCATATATCCTCATCTTTTCTTCGTGTCTTCTGTTTTGTACGTTGTTCATCTCTTCAACTTTTGTTTAACCGTTAACCGTTGAAGCGACTCGTGTGCAAATTTGATGAGTAAAAAAAAAAAAGGTCATCAACGGGTATAGCCGGATAAGTATGGGAAATCTGCCCCCGTGGCTTTTTTGACTCGCACTTGGGGGATCGATTTGGTGTCGAATAAAAATAATTCACCCTAAATTTTAGCTCTTTTACTCAAACGGTTCTCGAGATTTTCAAAAAAACCTGTTTTTTCGATTTTATTTTTTTTTTTATAGTAAAATTCAAAACTAATCAATGATGATCTTTTTTCTAGTTCTTAGGAGTCTAAGACATGAAAAAAAATATTATCATAATATTTTAACGAAAAGCCGATTTTTGGCGAACGAAAGAAAATTAAATTTTTTTTTTTTTAGCTTTTTTGAAATATGTCACTCACCAAAATTTGTCAGAAAATGTCTTTTATACTCCTCTACACTCAAGAATTTTCTTGAATTTTTTGAAGTGGTGGAACAATATGAAAAAAATTAAAAACTCATTTTTTTTCTAAAATCTCAAGTTTTAACTAACTTATATATATATATATTTTTGAATTTGGAATAAGACTTGATTCTGATCTTGATCTTACAGAAAAAATAATTGCTGCCATGAATTCAAAAAAAAAGATCAAGAAAATACTTTAGCCTTGGAGATAGAAACTAATCGTTGGGCCAGAAGAAAAGTTCCAAAAAATTGAATTGAAATCCAATAGTTTCTTAGACGAAATTTTCCATTTTTTTTTTACGCAGGAAACGTCGCTAATGGTTTTTCTACGTAAAAAAAAAACAAAACAAAAAAAATTTTTCCCGGGGCGTACGATAATGTTTGGTAACTATAACATAAAAAACTATAATTTAAACAACATTTAAAAATCTTTCAAATATATTTAATATAACACATGAACAATATTTCATCTAATGATATTCCCATGATTTCAAAAAAGGCGCGTCTACCTGCGCATGGAGAATGCGCATGGGAATGCATATCTTTTTTATCGATAGAGTATCGATATTATTAAGTAACAATGAATTTAATTATTAGCTAACAATTAAAACTGAATAATCATAATAAATAATACATTATTTATTAGAAAAAAACTTAAATTTACGTAATAAATAATTGAAAGTAAATAATAAAAGCAATTGTAGTTGTACTAAAAAAACAATTCAAAAGTAATTTAAATTTTTAGATGCAACAATTATTTTGTAATCATTCAGAAGTGCATATGTCTATAAATAATTACTGGGGCATCGATTAAGAATATATATATACACATATATATACATATGTGTATATAAAATTCTTATCTACGTTAGTTGGAATAAATTCCATGAGAGGAGCTACATTGAGAAAATATTTGAAGCTCATAGAGTTCAAGATTGCAGCATTTCTGTTAGTGGTAACCGAAGTGAAACATAAAACGGATATCGCATGTTATCAAAGATAGCGCGCGAGTTTTGTCCCTTGTCTTGTTGCAGTCGGTGGTCGAATTCGCATCTCGTGCCTCTTTGTCTGCTGCTGCTGTAATTCACGTTCTTGGTTTTCGAGTATATGTGTAAGGACACAGTCATTCCTAGGTGAAATTTTGTTTAACTCGTTTCGAATAATCAATACGATTGCATTGTGATAAATAATCATTTAAACGAAAATTAAAGAAAAAATAATCAACAACAAAATGTCGTACGCAATAGTACTTTTGACTATTTCGTGTCTCTGCACCGGCTTGACTTATGGTAAGAAAATCACGTTCGTATTTTATTTTATTTAATTAAAAATGATTCGAGTGTTTTAACTTTTTGTTAAACCTTTCTTATATTCTTTCCTTTCATCTATTAAATTTTTCGCCGAATTTTTGTTATTGCCAATGACGCACATTATATGCAACGGACGAGTCCATCGTTCGTTTTCGTCCTCCTTGATTCACGTATTCATGCGAATTCATTGGCGATCCATTATTACTTTCCTCTTGCATGTTTACTTTAAGCAATGTATCAGCCAGTTACTATCGCACATCGATACTCGACAAATATTCTTACGACATTGATGCTATTCTTATAATACTACTACTACTACTACTACTACTACACCTTTATTGGTAATTCTTCGATTTCCAGTCGCTGCTTTTTCTTTCATCCGCAAATCCAGTTTTTTTTTGTCCTTCTTTTGTACACGCATACTTCAAAGGATTCGTATTTGGAAACTCTGCATTACTTAGCCCATCCCAAACGTTGATAAATAAACTCACTTCGATTTATTTATTTTATTATTTCTTCTTAAATTTTGTTTGATAAATCGACAATATCTAAATTTTCATCCTTCCATTCCTCGTTTAAGGTGATGACTAATAACTTCATTCTAGTAAAATGAAAGATAAAAAAGATGAATGTACAATACATAAACATATGCGCATGAACACTTGCCATGATCAACCGGCTCTTTCTTTTTTGATTATACTTGCCTGTTTTCTATCTGGTTTATTATGATCATTGGAATTTATACAAGAACGATAGTTCTTTCAAATAATTTCTTATCGTTCATGCTTTATAACTTCCTTCGATATTTCTCTGTAATTTCCTGCTGATTATTAGAAACTTCACTCTCGCTCTGATAAAATAAAAATTTATTTGTTTACAATTCTTCATTATTTTTATACTAAAATATACAATTATATTTATAATAATAACATTTATATATAATTTAATTTATATTACAAATATAATTGTCGTTATTTCTATTCAATCGTATAATTACTCGTAGTAATTAATTTTAAATCCTAATGAAATAGTTGCTGATTTGATCTAGTTGTTAATTTTTAAAAATGAAAAGAAAATGCGCGAAATTTGAATATCATCTTTTCATGCATATTAAATGTTAATGAACTAATAAATAAAATACTCAATGATAATGAATGAATAAAGTCATAAATAATTTATCGATTATGAATTGCGTACGTAAATATTAAATTGGAATATATTCTTCAATGTTTGCTTAGGTTATGAGTCAACTGAGAACAATAGACGTGACTAAACTTGTTTCGCGTGTTATCTGAAACATTTATTAAACATAAGTCTTACTCTCGTTCATAAGGCTGATTTGTTAATATGAATATACGTATAAAATTCATATTAACTATAATATTAGATTTCAAGTATATTGATAAGTAATATAAGACGTATTTGTGACGTTATCAGAGTAGAATTACGTTACCAATTAACTCGATGATAACTGGCCACTGTTATGATTTCTTTTATTTTTATTTATTTAAATAAATAAATTATTATTACACGTTTTTTTGCATAAAAAATCTTATATTCGAAAAATAAACGATGTGTCATATCAAATATTTCTCGTTAAATAAAATATATTTATTTAGTATGATAAAAGATGACTGCGCTGCAACAATATATGTATATGTAACTTGATAACGATTCATCGATCAAAATCTAACATAAGATAATATTTATATATATATATATATATATAATTTATTTTATGTAATAATTAGTTCATATTAATTATTATAAATTATTCAAATTATTTCAGATATAATAAATTCATTCAAATTATATTTAACTAATCTTTTATTTAACATAGTTTACGATATTGATTAGCAAGGATTAGAACGTTATCTTCTCTAGCTTAAAAAAAAAAAAAAAAAGGATTTCATCTTTAATCAATAATTATTTTTATCTAACTTTGTTTTTTTTTTTATCTATTCGTTTATTTTATGTATTAATTATAAAGAAGAAATTTTATAAAAATATAATTTGCAAATGATTTTATTACTATTGTTTCTTTTTAATATCATTTCTGTTATCACATTTAACATATTTAATAAGCGACTTTCGTAGGAATAAAAGAGTAGATAAGAAAGAAACTTTACGAACCTAATCAGCAAAATATAATAATGTTATATATATATATAAATAATATGTGAGTTTTAATTCTAAAAAAAGATCATTTTGATTTTTACAGGAATGGAATGTTCGCTTAATAGTCAAAAGAGTTACCTTGAAAAATTAGTGACCACTTGTCCAGCATTATGGAATGATGCAAGTAAATCTTATTGTTGCTATGATTTTTCAAATGAATATTATTACTGTTGTACTCAGGAAGAATTTGCTATGAAAATGGGGTACGTATATATAAATTAAAAATATATCTCAATAAATAAAATAATAATATTATAATATATTATATGATTATTTTAGGATTGGAATCATCGTACCTGTTGTTATTGCTGCCTGTATTATTATATCATTAATAGTTTGTTGCATATGTTGTTTATGCTGCAGCTGTTGCCCATGGTATCGTCGACGTCATCAAGGCACCGTTTATGGCAGTAAGTAAAATATTTGTAACAGCAATTCGTTATGGATTTATAAACAAAAAGGACAATTGTCCGTCCCTTTCCTATCAGCAGGGGATTCCCAGAATTTCCATATCAATATTCTATAAATTCATTTGTACTCAATTGTTCTTGTTCCCTGAAAGAGTAATAATTTATTAATATAATGTAATTATTGTATCATAGATTTGTTTATTGTCTAACATTACAATTTTAGATTATTTTTTTTTAATTAACTATTATCAGAGGCAGCCAGGACGAATATTTAGTAAATACGAACTAAGAAGCACAAGTAGTGTCATAAAATATAAAAAATCTATTTTAATAGATTTTATTTAATTATAATTTAATAATAATATTGTTAAAATGTTATCTCATCATCTTACACTCAATAATTAATTGAGTAATATAATTCTTTTTAGGACCATCTGTGGCATAATTTTCTGGCATCATCTGTTTGAATTAAATTAGGATTGGCTTATGTCTAACATCTTATGCAGCTAAAAATTTATATGCACTTCATATATATTCCATTTTAGAAATAAGTTACATCACTTTTTGTATGATATTTTTTTAATGACATAAACTTCATATATTTTGAAAATATATAGTGAATGATATGTGATATTAAATGTTGTGATTTTATTACAAATAATTTAAAAAAAATAATATTTATTTTAATTGCAAAATATATGAAATAGTTATCCTGACATATTGTACTTCTTCCATAATTTGTTAGAACTCTAAGTATAATAGTATCTTCTTTATATCTGTTAACACACTTATGATAATATTTTTGATAATACATGTTACAGTAAAAAGAAGAATTACTGTATTCCTATATGCGCATATGTACTATAAACAATATTCCTCTCTGAACTAACTTTTCATAGGAAAAAAGTATATATGTATTTTTATTATATATTTTATATACGAAAAAGAAACATAAAAGACAAAAAATACATAAGAAACCGATAAACCAAACTACATGCATTATAAATCATGACAAATATGTATGGAACATCTAATATATTGTATTTATTTAAAAATATTATTATTAACGATTTATATATATAATATATAATATGCTTCTTATATGAATGTAATGAATGATAAGATAACGCGAGCTATTATTTTGTATTGCATTAATAATAAAAGAAATTTTCCAATGAAATTATGTTCGTTTTTATCCTTGATATATAAAATCTTTTTTTAATATTTTCCTATTTTCTTTTATTTAAGAATACCATTTCTAATGTACATTATAATAATTAAATATTCGCCTGGTGTCTCTGAAAATGGGAAATTAATAGAAATATTGTTTTTGCGAGAACATAGGTGGTACATTAATTTTTGTTATAGAAGTACAAACACCAAGTGTCGTTCAAGTGGTACAAACTCCAGCAAATCTTCCTCAACAACTACCTAATTATGTCAATCAAGCACCGTATCCACCAGTTACTGCTGTTGGAGGTAATTTATAATAATTTTATTTCAATATATGTTTTATAGAATTATTTTTTCTATAAATAAAATAAATATTGTTTCATAGGTATGCCACAGCCACCACCAGCGTATACCATTGAACCTTATGCCAGACAAGCACCGTATAATCCTGGATACGTACAATAATACCAAAAAACATAATTGATCTACTTGCCAATATGTTTAATATTAAGTCTAAACTTATTTGTTACCTTCAATGTCAATAATTGAAAAAAAAAAGGAATATAAGTCTTCGAATGCCATCAAAAAAAAAAAAAAAAAAGGTTCACATTTTGTACTACTATTATTAAATGAAATATGGATTTTATATCTGTTGAATGTTGGAACAAATCTGCCATGGAAACATATTTTCAAAAAGAATATTATCTCATAAAATATAATTAACCCTTTGAATATGCCAAATACATTTGGTCAAAGTTCTTTCTAGGAACGGAATATTTTATCGCTAGTGTGAGGTTCAATTGATTGATTATGCTAGACGCAGCTAACAAGGGTTAATTGTATTTTCAAACAATCATTTTCATTCTATTAAATATACATAAATAATGTTGAAACTATTTTCATGCTGTGTTATATTAAGATATATATATATATATAATATATATATCTCGTTTTAAATATATGGCGATTATATAATACGATTAATATACTCATTTTTCAATTTAAACCCAGTTTTTTATAATGTTTACAATTTTTTCCTTTGCAAATTAAAAATAAATTTACATTATTATGATTATTATTATTATTAATATTATTATTAGCCATGTATATATTTTTATTTATTTTGTAATAACGTATATAAATTATCCAGTCTTATCTAATAACAAAAAGGTTCATCAATTCTTACGTGTATCATTTCATCGTTTAGATAAAATATTCTATTATCTTTATTATGCTTTTTCTCAAAGTTAATAGAGTATAATTATTTTCTAATACTACTTTTTCTTTCTTAAGTTTTATAGATAAGGCAACAAACACGCTCCTTTTTTGGTGCTTACAAAGAATGTAACCAGAGAATCATTGTGCTGTATTAATGTCAATTTTCATTAATTATTTTTACCAAAGTACTTTGTAATGATAATTACTTCAGGTACAAGTTACTGGAGAATATTATCAATTTGATAAACGAATAATATTTTGAAAATATATTCGTTTAATATAGCACATTAATACTCCCGTTATACTTATTACTATTTCTTAAACCTAAGTATGAATTATATTTACATTTTTTTGCACATTGAATAACTGATCGAAATGATCGCTTTAATTAATTAATTTCTATATATCAATTTATAAGTAATTGCCAGATTACTTTTACAATTTTGTTTTATCGATGATAAACTCTAAATGAATGCAAATTTGTTTTAGTTGTCTATGTTAAATATATATAATTAATTAGCATGTGTTCAATGTGCGCACACAAACAAATTATTTAAATCTAATTTTATTGTGCTTGTTAGGAAGCTATTATTTGAATGAAATTATTTTAGAAAAAAAAAAAAAAAAGAAAAATATGTGATGTATAGCATTTAATTATCAAGATATTATTTTAGGAATGTATGCTATATTCGAAAAACTTATAACCATTATACTATTATATTTTCGATATATGAAAGTGTCCTTCTGATTGACCAAAAGCACAACAAAATATTTTCCATTTCACATTTGCGGCAATTGTTCGATGGGTGTTGCAAATTTGAAGTCTTCAGGAAATAGTTTGCTTGCATGGGGATACATAAGCTTGTAAGATTGTCTGATTGTGACATCTGCAACACCTGCAATATCTCCAATCTCTTTTTGTGATCTCTTGTCTTCCGAAGCCTGTATATTTACAAAAAGTAGAACAAATAAAAATATTATATTTGAATATTACGATTAACATTTTTCTAAATTGTATTAAAAAAAACTATACGTACTTGGGATGCCATATAAATGGCAGCTGCAGCTACCGAAATAGGTGATCTTCCAGGTACAATGTCAATTTCAACAGCTTTTCTTGCAATATGTGTTGCAGCTCTTTGTACCATATTTGGAAGACCAAGATTTGAACAAAATCTTGACATAAAGTCTCCCGTTGTGATGAGATCCACACTTGTCTCGAGTGCTTTTAATATTAATTTGAAACACCTACCAATTTCTTTCTTGCTAATTTTACTAACCGCACAGATTTCTTTAAAAGTACGTGGGACACCTTCTTGTCTGCATGCAATATATAAACAGGCTGATGCAATGGCATCATTAGAACGTCCTTTCAAATTTTTACCATCGTGTACTTGTTTGAAAAGATTATTAGCTCTGTCTACAATGGTTTTAGGTAAATTAATACGATCAGCCATTCCATTGATTTCTCGAAATGCGTTAATTAACGCTCTGTCAGAACTACTCATCTAAAATTATATATTTATATATTAATAAATCTTGTCGATGAAATACAAATGCATAGTAAATATGTAATACTTACAGTACGTCTGTTTTGATACTTGGAAGCACCGAAGGCATCAAAAGAAGCAGCACCAGTTCCAGGTCCAATCATGGTTGACAAATCTGACCCGTTGAGCAGAGGATTCTCTGGTCCACCTACACGTGACGGATCAACGCCAGCTTTTTCATTACTAAATGTTCTCCATTCGGAACCTACATCGATAACTCTAATATCAAAATAAATGAATTAGTCATAGATTATTGAAATTTACTATTTATCTTTAATACTGTATTTTGTTCTCACCTATCACCTACTACCAATCCACACTCTGAACATATTTGATCACCAGCTCTGTAATCTTCGATAAGTGGTGCATCTGGATGTGCATAACAACATACCTTATTTGTGTCATACCTATAAAATTTAAAAACCTTTTACATAACGTATTTTACATGTTATTTATATCTCTTATGATAATGATGCACTTAACTATTCTAATTATGTGTCATTAAAATATAATCTATTACGACAAGGTTCAAGTTTTTTTTTTTACAATAAAAAGAACAAATGTAACAAATAAATAAATATTAAATAATATTTTAATAAATTTTGTAATAATGAATGTATAAATATTCATTGAGAATGATTCTGTTAAATGTCTTAACCTCTAAGATTTACATCAAACATTGTCAGACATAATTATTGAATACTTATTTAAATTATTTCTAGAGAATATAATTTGTAGATAAATGTTGCTTTTATAATAGCAATAAATAAATAATAATATGCAAATATATGGAATATCAAATTATTTAACTTACCTCGAAGAACTAGCCATGTTTCTCAATCACATATGCGGTAAACTATGCACTACTAATAAACATGGATTCTCTAATGTAATTCTGTTAACATATTGTCTACCAACATAACGGAAAGTTCCCTATTTTTAGAAAATTGAATTATACTGAATAAAATGATGTATTATTTACAATAAATATAATACAACACGTTCTTTTTTAATTAACATTAAAAATATTAACATATCTTTGTTATAAATTATTAAATTGCTCCTATTTCTCATAGATAATATTTTTTTTCTAGTGTCTTTTCACTAATGTCAAAGTGCAAAATACAAAGTCAAAGGTCAGAAATAACTCAGTCGGTAATACAGATATCTGCAGTATCTCGATTCAAATTGTTTTTCTAGCTAATCTACTAAATAAAATTAAATTTCTTTTTTATAAAAAGCAATGTGAAATCGTTACAGTAAATTATAACACTGTTAATTAATTTGATGTATAATCTAATATAATATACAATATATAATTTAACATTAATAATAAAGATATAGAAATATATTTTAAATAATTTTCGGAAGAGCTTTTTATTGACAGAGATAAAAGAAGTTTTCATTGTTTTTTGATAGCCATTAGCCAATTAAAAATCAATTATGCAAAAAAATAATAATACTAACAAGATATTTATACATAGATTATTGTTCGTTCTATTGAAAATTCATAGACAATGTGAAAAAATCAATTAACTAATGATTCGGCATATACACAAGAATTTTTTTTTTTAGTAAAACTAAAACTAAAAAAAGAAATACGAATGACATGTTTTATTTAATATAAGCTTGTATTAATTTTATTTATGATACGAGCCTTGATCTTATTTTTTTTTTCTTTTTTCATATACGTTTTGTATCTCTAATATAAAGAAATCAGTGATGAAACATATAAATATACCACAAATACCCATTAAATATTACACCAATTGTCTACAAATATATTTTTTAGTGCAAATAATAATAGCTTTTATAATGAAAAAAAAAAAATGATGATAATAATAATGATAATGATGATGATTAGACGATAATAATAATAATAATAATAACAATATACGAATGGATAAATGAAAATTATATTTCATATTCGAAATGAGGGATTATTTCATGTTCAAAACTAAAGACTATAAAACAAGGGACAAAACGAATTATTTTATCAAATACAAATACGGTGATTAAATCTTCTCTTATTATTTTTTATCATATTCTTTTTCTATCTTTTTCAGAAACTCGAATGTAATTGTAATTGTTATTATTTTTTTTATTCGAGCGAGTCTTAAATGCTATTTCTCTGTGTCTTGTTTGAAGATTGATTTTTTTCTTTTATTCTTTTTAATAATATCTTTTTCTTTTCAGTCTAATAATAATGCACGTTACACAAAGTACATTATTATTATTATTTTTAAATAAACTATTGAAATATAATATTAGATGGAAATTTTGTCGGGAAAATTTCGCGGATCGTAAATAAGGCATACATTTAAATAAACGGTGACCATTTTTAAATACAACACCACCACTTCTTCTTCTTCTTCTTCTTCTCTCTTAAGTCCAGCGATAAAAGTATTAAATTACAGATTCTCGAATAATAATCAGAATATATATATATATACATTAGTATTATTTTATGAGGATATTAAATTAACAAAAATCTATCCAAATCATCGTTGTGCCAATATTTTTCAATTATACCTGTATACTATATATATATATATATACATATATATATAATATACGCACGATCTTAACATTGGTCTTTTATAAAAATGAAAATGTATACAGTAATAATAGTAACCGATTTTTTTTCTTTTCTTTTTTAGTAGCTGCTAAACTTGTTACATAAGTACTTTTATTTATTTTTTTTTTTACGACCAGCTGCATACCGCAGAAAAAAAAATACTTAAAACGTTTATTTACTAGTCCCATTATCATTCCTTTCATTTCCCTTTTTTTATTTTACTTTCACTCTTTCTCTTTCAACAATCTTTCAATTTGCAAATATTGCACTAAACGATAAACAAAATTATGCTCATTAAACAAATTTATAAAACTAGAAAAACAATTTGTATTCCAACGATTGGAAACAAGAAAAGAGAGGAGGAAGGATTACTGTAAAATGGGAAATGAAGGTAAAAGGGCGATCGGTTTTAAAGAGACAGGACCACACATGGAACCATCTGTAATAAATTACACCAAGGTATGTTTATTGTTTTCTTTTTTTTTTTGCGTTTTTTCTATTCTTTTTTTTTCCTCATTTTTCGTTTTTTTTTACGTTTATTACGTTTACGTGGATGTGATGTTGGCTGCTGGTTGTTAATATAATTGGTAAATGATTAGTACTTATTAGAATCACGCCGCAGCAAATAGATATTACAGCAAAAAATGGATTTTTATAGTCGGTCGTTTAAAGTATTATATATATATCTCTCTCACTTTCTTTCTCTTTCTCTGACTCAGGACATTTGTCTCGTTATCGTGAAATCTCTGCGTTTTAAGTTATTACTTGCAACCTTTTTTTTTTTTTTATCGAGCTTTTATGTACTTTTTTTTTCTTTCTTTACTTTTTTTTGTTTTTTTGTTTTTTCTACTGAGTCAGTCCTGCCTGTGTGTGTATGATATTCGTATCTTTTTGATATAATAAATGGTAAATGTAATTATTTTTTTTCTTTATAGCCATAATCAATTGTATATGTATAATATTTTAATAATAATATATTATTAATATTAATAATAATAATGATATAATGTAATAATAATAATAATAATAATAATATAATAATAATAATATTAATAATATTAATAATAATAATAATAATAATAATATTAATAATAATAGTAATCATGGAGATGATGATAATAATAATAGGTAGCAGTAATAATTCATCTTAATAAATGTAAAGGCTGGTACACAGAGATAACAAGCGACTCGCAAGTTGTCGCATCAGAGACAAGAAAAAAAAAAATAGACTTACAAAACGCAATACATGCACAAATACTTGACAAAAACTCGGACAACACAAATTCACCAGACTAATTTTTTTTTCTCCTTTCATTTTTCATACCCATTTGTTTTCTTTTTTTTGTTTTCAATTTCCTTTTCCACTTTCATTTTCATTTTTATCTTTATTTTTATCTTCATTTTCATTTTCGTTTTCGTTTTCATTTATACGCCGATAACCAAAACGGCGTTTTAATGATGTCTGCTGGATCCCCAATATTAATATAAATCATATTAATATGCAATTATCTAAAATCTTTCTATAACTTCTTGTTTTACGGGGTCTGCCATGATTATCTCGAAGGCTGTCACATATCCAAAAAAAAAATGATGGACACGATCTAGAAAGCCTTTTTTTTATACGAGAAACTCGACAGACTAACAAGATGTCGTGATAGTACTGAGTGGAGATAACTCAATTCAGTGAAACTGAAGCCCCTTTTGTGGTTCAGTAATATATATATATATAGATATAATATAAACCCTATTCCAAATTATAGGTGTCTGAAAAAACATTTTTCTTCTCCGGGCCTTTGCTTATTTAATTATTTTCATCATTTTCATGTTCCTCTTCTTCGGAATCTGCATTATCAAGCCAGAGCAACCAACGGTATACCTAAATAATAATTATTTATATAACACATTGTTATTTACTCTAAATTACATGCTTTAATTACAACACACATTTATACACATCTTACATATATATGGAGAGACACACACTTGGAGATATTGCTACCAGAAAATATTTCTTACAAAGGAGAAAGGTTGTTGTTGTTGTTGTTTTCGGGAGATTATTAATAAAGATTGAATTTAAGTATTATAATTAGATTTTTATCATTCTTTCTTACCTGGAACAATGCTTCGCCCTTGCCAGGATAAGCATCGGTGACATCTTCTCTCCATTTATTATAGGCATCTTCTTCGATGATTCCAAATTCGTAAAGTGCCACAAACCATCTTCTCAGCATTCCTTTAGGAAAGTTTTGCGAATAGCAAAATACTTGTAATGCATGGAGAGCTGTAACTTGCGACTCAAGGGCGTGAAGGAATGTGTCAAGAAAGCCAGCATATTTACGCAACAACGTACGTTCCTTTTGTACCAAATCTTTGTCAGGAAACTGAGTTTTGTCGACACCAGGTGCCAATGTTGTTTCCTATTTAAAACAGATAAAAATGTTCATAGCGTATCATCTTATTTAATATATTAACAAAATATTTTATTATCTACTAACCTGAGTTATGTATTTAAGAAGGACATTCATTAGTGCGTTAATGAACGCGGCATCGCAATAATGTAACGGATCTAATTTCTCCTTGATCCATTTGTAAAGTGCATTTGGAGTTGGGTCAGTTTGTATTTGACGCCACATATCTCCTTGGATCCTTAGAAGTGGACACAAAAATGTTAATTCTCGATCCTCAAGAATCTCTCCTAGTCTCTCTTTCGTTTTGTCTACTTCCGGTAACTGACTGATCAAATTAACTTTACTGCTGTTGAAAATTTGCAAGAGTTTTGCTTTTCCTTGAGTACGATGTAATTGTTGAAGCGTCAGTAGAAACAGTGGATGATATTGGCCATTTTCCGTTACAGATGCAAGATCCGTTAACAATATTAGATTATCCACTATGGCCTTGGCTGTTAAAAGAGCAACGTGAGATGTTACACAAGGTACGCTCTCTTTATCTGGTATACTGGCCACCAATTCCTTCCAGCCTTCGTGTAATTGTTGTGCATTAATAATATTTTCTTTTTTCAATTCGAATACGAGCTTGGCTGCTAGATCTCGTTCGGAGTCACCGCGATCCAATGTATTCGAGTATATAGTACAAATAGCATGACGCAAAAATCTTTCTGGTATCTTCAGATCTTTAAAGGCTGTTACAGCATCTTGAATATTAGTATGATTAGCAAGATCATCCATCAAGGCATTGACCTTCTTTAAGATTTCTTCCTTGGAAGGACCTTTATCCTTCTTTTCTCGAGCTTTTTCTCTTTTATCTAAAGGTCCCTGTTTAATTATAATCGAAGGAGGCGCTTCTTTATGTAATAAAGGCGAACTGGGTTTCAGTG